ATAATTAAGTATTTTGTTAGAACTCAATGATTATCCTAATTATATTTTAGATTTTTTATATTTAAAATGAGATGTTTATCCTGTATTTGATTATGTTTATCTGCAGTTAGTTACACGAATTCAGTTTATGGGATGAAATCGGATATGGATGAAATTGTTTAGGGATGAACGGGTTTAAGAGTTTTAAGAGTTTAAGAGTTTAAGAGTTTTAGTCAAATGCTTTATAAGATAGTATAGATTATTTAATTAATAACTAATAACAAGATAATTAAATAAATTATATAAAAGTTTATCATATCTATTTAAATAAATGCAAAAATTATTAAAAAAAAGAAAAGAAAAGAAAAGGTTGATTTTTTTGGTGCAAGTCGGCAATAAAAAAGAAATAGACTAAAAAATAATCATTCGCCAATCAAGATCTTTAAAATATTTTAGGATCAAATTTAAAAATATAATTAAAGGACTGCAGATGGTATAAAGAAATATTTTTTGGGATTTATTTATTTATTTTCTATATTTTTATAGATAATTAGTTTTCATTTGCAATGATCATCTTTAAAAAGAAGAGTTAATGTGAAAAACGTAAAAAGAAATATAGACCATTGATTATCTTTAATATCAAACTCACTCAATAATCGTATTTGATACAGGGACTGATCCAATGCATTTCATCCTAATGTGCATCCAAGTGTTTAGTACGCTGACTCTTATTTTCACCGGAACTCAACTCAGTTTTGATTTTAGTACTGCAGATCCCCTTAATGCCCTTCTTGTTTTTCCTTCTTTCTTAGGGGCCGGGTGTTTGGGAATTCTTATAAAAATAACTTATTGACTTATTTTGATGTGACACCGGTAATAAGCATTTTTGAGTGTTTGGATAAACAACTTGTACCAATGTCAAACCGGTAATAAGAAGTTTTTGAAGAAGTTAAATCATTCTAACTTATAATAAGTTGATAAACATTTTTGTAGAAAAACATAAGTTGCATCAAATAAACAATCCCAAACACCCCTTAATAAAATTTATGTTTGAATTTCTTTTTAAAAAGGGTAAAGTTTTTGTGTCTATATATTATCATTAGTGAAAAAAAAAATTAGATGCAAGATTGTGCACTGGTTTAATGGTATTCAGATAACCGATAGATTTTAACGTTTCAAAAAGTCAAAGGCTATACTTTATCAGACATAAACAATATATATAAAGATTTGTCGTATTTAAAAAAATGATATGATATGACCGTTTTGTTTGTTAATAACGAATAGTAAACAATCAAATACTTGTACATCAATAGAGGTGGATTTGAGGACTCTTACCCGGGTAAGCGTTCACTGGGTAAATTGTTGCATACGATATCGTTTTAATATACTACAATCTTATCTGGTAAAATAGATTATAGTATTGACTCCTACCAATA